AAGCCTGGCAAGGGATTCAGGCCAGTGCCTACAATTCACATTAGCCAAATGTCAGAGGCCAGTGATGGGAACCTCTGCAGTGCCTGGTGCCAAGTTTATTAAAATTAGCACTGCAGCTTGGTGGTACCATCTCAAAACTGCCAGAGTAGAACAAGGCACCAACTCCAGGGGTTCACCATCACTCCTTGTAGGTTCATAAAGTGAGGTGGATTGTAATAAGCATGATACTGTTACGAAGTAAGGACTTCTCAATGAGGCAGACTATCTGAAAGAAGGGGTAAAAGGCACCAACAGCAATACAGATGTCTTCTCTCCATGAGCAGAGCTTAGATTGTTACATAGGGCGGTGGGGATTCCTTGGAAGGCAACTCTAAGGCTTCCTCGTATGATGGCAGCACAGCCTGAAAGAGAAGACCATTAGTTATGCTCTGGGGATCACATGAAAGGTTTCAAGCGGATTTGATCTTAGATGTGTTTCTCTACTTAGTTCAAAAGCAGGGTAAAAGAACCGCATGGGATGTAAGAGACAAAGGGCAGAAATCCAGAAGTGTTGGAGGTCAGCAGCACTTCATAACCACTTTGATGCCAGTCCCACCTCCTTCTCCCAAAGTATGGCTGCAATAAATGGACCAAGGCTCTTTAATGTCCAGAATATTAGCCTCATTGCCTAAGCAAAGAGGCTAAGCTGAGATCATTGCAGAGGGCCATGATGCATGCACAGCAGGGGCACACACTGCTGGCAAGACAAGGCCTATCATATTTGCCAAGTTTCAGCAAGACAAATGCCTAGACTTAGCATTCCATATTCTTCCTCGTTACTTCTTATACATCTTTACAGTATCTCTTATTTTTGGAAGGTCTTTAATATCTTTCCATTGTGTCAGAGCAGCTGGATGCTACTGTTAAAGAGATCATCAGTAATCTAAGGACATTGATGTTCATTATTTAGCAACCTCTTAAGATGAAGGGCAATGCACCAAATCTCTCAGATGTCAATCCAGTGAAAGGTGAAGGAAAACTTAATTTTAAACATGGATAGCACTATTAGGCACAGAAATCAAAGTTCAACTGAAATTAAAACGGATCTCTGGTTCGGAGAATAGAAGTTATATATTCCCATTTAGATGCTTTGCCTGAAGCCTGAGTTTCAGGTTCCTTACAGATACCATTGACTTTGAAAGGTTTTATACAAAAGTAAAGTTAGATGAATATAATATAGTTGGAAACTGATTATTAGTACCTGTGAATGCACATTTGAAGGATTGAACTATCTCTCAGACCACCAAGGAAGCAATAGGAAGGATCACCATGCACCTCATCAGTCTAAACCATGCCTTTTCACGGTGTAAATCTGAAGCAGTCTTCACTCACCTTTTCAACTGCTTGTGGGTCCACTTTCACCTCCTTTCTCTTGCTGGCTTTAATATACTTAAAGCAGCTCAGGACACATTTGAACATATAGGCCTGAAAGAGAAAGGGAAAAGGGAGACTGCCATTGCATTGCAAGTCAACAAGAGCGTTTCCACTTTTGCCATCAGCCTGCTATTGTCCTACTCTCTTCTCTGGAGGTGGTAGCCTGGGACCGCGTGTCCCAGGGCCTTAAATCAGTCTCTTGATCCTTCACTAGAAAGGTGACAACTCCATCTATTCAGAACAGTACGCTAATATGGGGAGTCAATAGGGCTAGTAATACTATTAAATATAAAGCACGTGCGTAAGACCTCTGAGAGCGCAATGCCATCAGGTAGGAAAGGAAAGCATGTCTTTCCTGTTATTTTTCTGAGCAGGCTATAAGGTTTGATGTCTCAGAAAAGTACCTTGGGCACAACATCCACCTCCCAGAGACCCAAGGCTCCCTGGTCAACTAGGACTGACCTTTCAGGTCAGCTCATTCAGCTAAATCTTATACTTGCAATAGTTACACTTTTCTGACAAGACCGCCTTGCACCTCATAGACTTACAAGATGCAATAAATAGAGAGCTTTTCTGAGAAAAATGGATCGATTGACAGATTGTGGCACAAGAAAATAAGCAAGGCCTGTGAAACATACCATATTAAATAAATATTTTCCCTACTCTGAGCAGCGAGGCAAAGTCGTGTGCCTCTTATTTTTACTGGCATAAGACTCTACTTTAAAAACATTTGGCATTTTCAAAGGAACATAGGGAGTTATATGCCCCGTGAACAAGCCATGTAGCTTAGGATTTCCTAGAACAATGAAGACTGTTTTTCTTGACACAAAGCCAAGACAAAGAAGGAGAACAAGGAATGAAGTATGTGAGTTGAAGGAATCCATCGCTCAAACAAACTCCCAGAGATGAGGAGGTAAATCCAAACTCTGGCCACCTTCAGGGACTACTGCGAAGTGCTTCCTCCTTCCAAAAGCCTCTTCATACAGAGAGCAAACATGCAAGACACTGAAGCCATCGTATAAACTGTACAAAAACCCCCACTCATCTGCAAAAGGAACCCAAATAAATAAAAAAAAATATCATACAACAACAACAAAAAATCCTTTCTTTGATTTTGATTCTGGACGCATTTGCTGCAGTGCCAACCAGTATCTGCACCAAAATCAATGAAGTTGACTTCAGTTAAGACTGCTGCAAGCAATAGCAGGTTCGAGCAGAATACATTAGTACACACAGCTTATGTAAAGGCAGCCAGTGACCTTGGTATCATCCCATTACTGGCTAACTCAAAACACTCAAGAGTCACTGTAGGATACCCTTCTCCACACTGAATTGAAGAGGGAAAACTTCTCCGGCAGCTGTTGACATTATAAGTGGATGGGAAGCTTGTCCTAGCGCTCAGGAAGTGAGCTACTTCAGAAGTAATTATGTTAAACCCTTTCTTTCATTTCCCATCAGAAACGTTTTATTCCCCTTGGTTTCTGCATTCTTATCACTGTGGTGGCGGAGGGGGATGACTTTATGATACTGAGGCGAGATAAAGGTTACTTGTGGATACACAGATCAGCGAGGGAGACTGCTGTGCTGTGTAAGCACTGACGGTGCTGTGTAAGCACCCCCTTCACCCCCTCTGCCCTTTGAATACTTTGCATCTCCAAGGAACTTAGACTTGAACAACTGATAATACCACCATTGGGGGTCTACCAGTAAGCATACAACCAGCCATCACACTGGTAAGGAGCTGTGAAGCTGTATGAAGAGACTTCCACGTTGTGATAGGACACGGTCCCTGGAAAGTGCGGTGGCAGTCCCAGTTAATGGACTTTTTGTCAATCCTGGCCAGTGGAAAGCAGCCTGGTGAAGATGGCTGTGATGGTTGTCACACACCATCTTGGCATCTACAGACTGATGAGGAATTTTAAGGGAAGGACTGTGCTTTCAAATACCTCCCTAAACTAAAAAGGAGAAAAGCTCCACACAGGTAACCCACCCCATGGCCTCCTCCAGACCTGGCTTTGAACACTGCAACCACGGTGGGCAGGTAGCTGGTGACAGATGAGAAGCAGCCAGTTTCAGCATCCAGCCTGGTCTTCAGGACTATGACCAGGAGGGCTGACAGGTGACATTTGGAAGGTATGTAGCCTACTGATTATTCATATTTTCAAAGACGATGTTTTATCTCTCCACCTAATTAAGCAAGAAGCTGGACTCTAACATGCTTCTGCAAAGCTTTCCGGTTGAATTTTGGGTTGGTCTCTTGCTCTCTGGCCACAGTTAAACAATTGCCAGATTTAGGCTCAGAAAGAAATTATTTTCCGCTTTAAAAATTTGAGGGGTTTGTACTTTTGTGAGTGATTTTAAGCATGTTTAAAAGCACTGGAGACATTAAGATGTCATTGTGCTACACCCTTTCAGACTTCATGCCTGTTGCTGAGTATCCTGGTCCCCAGAACAAGGGAGATGAAGTACAAAGGGAACCATCACACCTCTTCAGTGATAAGAAAACAAGCTCAAAAGTATATGACCAACATCATATCATGACCAAAATCTTCATCACCATATACATAAATACACATGTAGTGAAAAGAGCATGAAGCGGCACTGACATTTCTTATTTGAAGTTTGGCAAATCTTCCACTGAGTCTTCTTGGGGTTTTTTTTGTTTGTTTCCAAGCAGAACAAAGGCCCTAGGCTGTGGTCCACATCATGGACCATGCTGGAATCGTTATTACTGAGCAAATTACACTTTCATACCAAATTGTTTTAAAAAGCAAGCAATGGTCCAAAAAGGTTGCTCTCATCGGCAACACTAGTCACTAACATCTACAGAGACTGACCTGTGCAATTAGAGTCAGTTGTGAGCGTACCACACCAAGCATACCTGGGCAGCATCTGTATCACCAGTGGTAATGTACAAGAGGAAGGAACAAGCTAGATTTTTAGATGAAATTGCCAGGTCGGCTGTTAGAAATATCACCTTCTCCTTTGCAAAACAGCACACAGCCTAAGCCCAAAGCACCATCTTTGCTAACTAATTTTTTTAGAAAGGAAATTCTTGCTTCTTTGTGGCATACTTCAGGCAGCAAAGACAGCACTGTTCAGAAGTCAGACAGCAAAATATCGCATCCATTACCTTATTTTTTTTTAATTGAAACTCATCTTCCAAGTCACACTAAAAGCAAAAGAATGCAAACATTCAGGTATAAAGTGGCAGAGCAATACTGTGACAATTCCAGGATGTTGTATATTCTGGAGTATACACTATTAATCATCATCACAAGCAGACAGGATAAGAATTGCATCGTAGTTCATTTGAGATCTTAATTCTTTTGCTGATCCCTTTCCCATAGGGTCCTCATTAAGGGATGCTGGTTAGCATAGCTTCAGGGTTGGACTCTCTCAGAGAAAAGGTTGTTGCCCGTTTTCCCCCTATTCCACTTCCTAAATGTCTCAGCTGCTGAGTTAGATGCGATACAGATGACAAACAACATCTTGCTGGCATAAAGCAAGCCTGGCAAGGGATTCAGGCCAGTGCCTACAATTCACATTAGCCAAATGTCAGAGGCCAGTGATGGGAACCTCTGCAGTGCCTGGTGCCAAGTTTATTAAAATTAGCACTGCAGCTTGGTGGTACCATCTCAAAACTGCCAGAGTAGAACAAGGCACCAACTCCAGGGGTTCACCATCACTCCTTGTAGGTTCATAAAGTGAGGTGGATTGTAATAAGCATGATACTGTTACGAAGTAAGGACTTCTCAATGAGGCAGACTATCTGAAAGAAGGGGTAAAAGGCACCAACAGCAATACAGATGTCTTCTCTCCATGAGCAGAGCTTAGATTGTTACATAGGGCGGTGGGGATTCCTTGGAAGGCAACTCTAAGGCTTCCTCGTATGATGGCAGCACAGCCTGAAAGAGAAGACCATTAGTTATGCTCTGGGGATCACATGAAAGGTTTCAAGCGGATTTGATCTTAGATGTGTTTCTCTACTTAGTTCAAAAGCAGGGTAAAAGAACCGCATGGGATGTAAGAGACAAAGGGCAGAAATCCAGAAGTGTTGGAGGTCAGCAGCACTTCATAACCACTTTGATGCCAGTCCCACCTCCTTCTCCCAAAGTATGGCTGCAATAAATGGACCAAGGCTCTTTAATGTCCAGAATATTAGCCTCATTGCCTAAGCAAAGAGGCTAAGCTGAGATCATTGCAGAGGGCCATGATGCATGCACAGCAGGGGCACACACTGCTGGCAAGACAAGGCCTATCATATTTGCCAAGTTTCAGCAAGACAAATGCCTAGACTTAGCATTCCATATTCTTCCTCGTTACTTCTTATACATCTTTACAGTATCTCTTATTTTTGGAAGGTCTTTAATATCTTTCCATTGTGTCAGAGCAGCTGGATGCTACTGTTAAAGAGATCATCAGTAATCTAAGGACATTGATGTTCATTATTTAGCAACCTCTTAAGATGAAGGGCAATGCACCAAATCTCTCAGATGTCAATCCAGTGAAAGGTGAAGGAAAACTTAATTTTAAACATGGATAGCACTATTAGGCACAGAAATCAAAGTTCAACTGAAATTAAAACGGATCTCTGGTTCGGAGAATAGAAGTTATATATTCCCATTTAGATGCTTTGCCTGAAGCCTGAGTTTCAGGTTCCTTACAGATACCATTGACTTTGAAAGGTTTTATACAAAAGTAAAGTTAGATGAATATAATATAGTTGGAAACTGATTATTAGTACCTGTGAATGCACATTTGAAGGATTGAACTATCTCTCAGACCACCAAGGAAGCAATAGGAAGGATCACCATGCACCTCATCAGTCTAAACCATGCCTTTTCACGGTGTAAATCTGAAGCAGTCTTCACTCACCTTTTCAACTGCTTGTGGGTCCACTTTCACCTCCTTTCTCTTGCTGGCTTTAATATACTTAAAGCAGCTCAGGACACATTTGAACATATAGGCCTGAAAGAGAAAGGGAAAAGGGAGACTGCCATTGCATTGCAAGTCAACAAGAGCGTTTCCACTTTTGCCATCAGCCTGCTATTGTCCTACTCTCTTCTCTGGAGGTGGTAGCCTGGGACCGCGTGTCCCAGGGCCTTAAATCAGTCTCTTGATCCTTCACTAGAAAGGTGACAACTCCATCTATTCAGAACAGTACGCTAATATGGGGAGTCAATAGGGCTAGTAATACTATTAAATATAAAGCACGTGCGTAAGACCTCTGAGAGCGCAATGCCATCAGGTAGGAAAGGAAAGCATGTCTTTCCTGTTATTTTTCTGAGCAGGCTATAAGGTTTGATGTCTCAGAAAAGTACCTTGGGCACAACATCCACCTCCCAGAGACCCAAGGCTCCCTGGTCAACTAGGACTGACCTTTCAGGTCAGCTCATTCAGCTAAATCTTATACTTGCAATAGTTACACTTTTCTGACAAGACCGCCTTGCACCTCATAGACTTACAAGATGCAATAAATAGAGAGCTTTTCTGAGAAAAATGGATCGATTGACAGATTGTGGCACAAGAAAATAAGCAAGGCCTGTGAAACATACCATATTAAATAAATATTTTCCCTACTCTGAGCAGCGAGGCAAAGTCGTGTGCCTCTTATTTTTACTGGCATAAGACTCTACTTTAAAAACATTTGGCATTTTCAAAGGAACATAGGGAGTTATATGCCCCGTGAACAAGCCATGTAGCTTAGGATTTCCTAGAACAATGAAGACTGTTTTTCTTGACACAAAGCCAAGACAAAGAAGGAGAACAAGGAATGAAGTATGTGAGTTGAAGGAATCCATCGCTCAAACAAACTCCCAGAGATGAGGTGGTAAATCCAAACTCTGGCCACCTTCAGGGACTACTGCGAAGTGCTTCCTCCTTCCAAAAGCCTCTTCATACAGAGAGCAAACATGCAAGACACTGAAGCCATCGTATAAACTGTACAAAAACCCCCACTCATCTGCAAAAGGAACCCAAATAAATTAAAAAAAATATATCATACAACAACAAAAAAAATCCTTTCTTTGATTTTGATTCTGGACGCATTTGCTGCAGTGCCAACCAGTATCTGCACCAAATTCAATGAAGTTGACTTCAGTTAAGACTGCTGCAAGCAATAGCAGGTTCAAGCAGAATACATTAGTACACACAGCTTATGTAAAGGCAGCCAGTGACCTTGGTATCATCCCATTACTGGCTAACTCAAAACACTCAAGAGTCACTGTAGGATACCCTTCTCCACACTGAATTGAAGAGGGAAAACTTCTCCGGCAGCTGTTGACATTATAAGTGGATGGGAAGCTTGTCCTAGCGGTCAGGAAGTGAGCTACTTCAGAAGTAATTATGTTAAACCCTTTCTTTCATTTCCCATCAGAAACGTTTTATTCCCCTTGGTTTCTGCATTCTTATCACTGTGGTGGCGGAGGGGGATGACTTTATGATACTGAGGAGAGATAAAGGTTACTTGTGGATACACAGATCAGCGAGGGAGACTGCCCTAACGGTGCTGTGTAAGCACTGACGGTGCTGTGAAAGCACCTCCTTCACCCCCTCTGCCCTTTGAATACTTTGCATCTCCAAGGAACTTAGACTTGAACAACTGATAATACCACCATTGGGGGTCTACCAGTAAGCCATCACCATACAACCAGCCATCACACTGGTAAGGAGCTGTGAAGCTGTATGAAGAGACTTCCACGTTGTGATAGGACACGGTCCCTGGAAAGTGCGGTGTTATATGAGAGAAAGGAGAGAGAGGAGCGTTACCATCCCCCTAGCATTGTCAGAGAAATCTTTCACGGTAAGAGGGTGAGCAAAGCCCTGCAGGTTTCACGTGGGGTCACTGGCAGAAGCACGCGGTGGGGCAGGTGCCCCATCTCTTCATCTGACAGACCACCTTTCAGCTGAACTACACTATGGTATGGGAAACAGACAACTATCTGGGGACAGTAATTGCAAGCTGGCAGGCAAACAGCACCAGATAACATAGAAACAAGATTTTAGCATAAGAGCAATAAATGCTTGTGATGGGTCATTAAGCAAGTCAATTTATGCAAAAAGATCCTAGGCTACTCCAACATATTTACATGCTACCTTGGTGTGGGTATTCAGTGAATTGAAACCAATGGACCCTACACAGGCCAAATGGCCTTTTTAGGTTTAAAATATTCCATGTTCTTGCCACATTCCTCATCAAATCTTTACCACTTGGAAGGAACTCTCTCATGACAATGGTTTTGCTACACATGGAAGAGGGGAGGGATTGTCACTAAGTTTAAAGGATGGGGTTCCTAATGACTTGTTTTGGGGAGTTTAGTAGACCAAGGAGTACTTGTGCCTGTCCATTTTTTTTAATTATCCTCCCGCCACCCCTCCTCCTACAAACTTCAGTGCAAGAAGTCATTGCAAGTTAAGCAGTCTTGTAGCTAACCCTGTAGAAAATTCAAAGCAACCGATTTGCCAGGTCAGTGAGATTTCTGCTGAAGACTCACACTGCCAGCTGGGTTTCAGGGTTATCTCCAATCCTATTGCACAGTTTATGCAAATATTAAAAGATATGCTAAAGTCACGTCTGCAGTGCAATCATACAGACACTCCACTCCACAGTGCCTTGTCTGGCTGCCTGGGAAGAGTCTGAATAAAAAATGCTTTCCAACTAACAAGTAGCATTTTTCACCATGACAGAATCTGCTCAAGTACCTGGAAAGATCTGGTTTCCTTATCCGGTCTGAAACCCCCCAGTGAAAAACCTGTTCTCTGATCCATTGAAGCAAGAAGAATAGAAACCATCTCACAGTGGAGTTTTCTGAGATGTAAGCAGGATTTAGCAGCTCATGGGTTTTAATTAAATTTCAGGGTATTAGTGTGCATAACTCCGCGTACATCAGTGCGGATACAGCGACTCACCCAAGTGGAAGATTTAACCTGCTGCTTAATGATCTAATTTATTTTGGCACACAATAGCAGAAGAGTTTCCTATATTTGTTTTCAAACATCTTATCTTTCTTGAGATGAATGGGCAGTAATAGTTTCTGGAGAGATTTTGCTTTATAACTCACATCTGCAGAAGCATAAAACCAGGGGTTTGAATATTAGACCTGCCTTAGACACTACACTGAGGCATAGCTCCTATTATGCCCAAGGAGAGACCAACAAGGTTTTCCAATGCCCTGGCAGATTTGAGAGAGAAGTAAAATGAATTCCTCCTATCCCCCAGGCAATGGAGTTTCATTTCAGCCTCACCAGACCCAGCAGTCGTTTACCTTCAGGAAGAGGACAGCAATGAACGCAATGGTGAAAGTGACCATCACTTTGGCATATTCCTCTGTTGGTAACTTCTCCAGGGTTGGCAAAAAGCCCTGTGAAAAGAAGGAGAGAGTCCCAGTCATACACGCTTGTTCCCTTTACCAGGGTCATACAAAGCGGTGGAGATCTCAGGGAGCTTCTCAGCCCGCCTCTCAGCAAGGTGGGACAGGCCACCTTCCTTTCCTCATCAGAAAGAATACAGGGATATTTTCTTCTCCAACTGTTTGCACTCCTTTGGCAAAGATTTTCAGAAGACTATTTAAATGAGAACTAAAAGTATGACTGTTTAATAAAGATGAAAAGTTGATGCATTTTCAATGCATGTAGGCAGGCTCTATCCAAATCATTTTGCTCTGCAATTTGCATTCATAAGATTCTTACAAGGAAAACAAGGTGTACTTTTAAGAAACACATGCATAAGCAAACTGTCAGTCAGGAACACCATGTCGATGAGAACATATGGAAAATCCTCTTTTGTCAACAAACAGAGCAGTTCTGGGTATACCATAGAGATCAGAGAAAGCTTCCTCTGTCTTAACAGCCACTGAAAGAAACTTCATAGGTGTTCACGGCATGAAAAATCAGCTGAGCTTGCTCATAACCTACCCCATTGTCTGAAGACTTGAGGCTGAGATAAGTGGGGACTTCCATGTAAGAGCTGCAGAGAGTGAGAATACTCAGGCAGAAGTCCAGCAGCTGCAGAGCCAGGAAAGGGATCTTCGAGTGTCCCGGCTGCAAGAAGGGCAGGGAACAGGAATTTGGTTACGATTACAAGATTGTGTCACTTATATAGATTTTCCCCATTTTACACCGGGCCTGTGCTCTGTCTGTATTTATAGCCTAAGCTTTTAATTCACTTATACTAGCCAAAAGGATGAGCAAATCATCTTGTTGGACTGATTCATACAAGCTCCTCAGAAGAGGCCTCTAGCTGGAGCAGTGATATTCCTAGGCTATCTCCAGCAAACCCTTCCTAGCATGGGCACACCCAGAACGACCTCCCCAAAGCACTGAGACAGAAAATAAAATCAACAGGAAGATCCCCAGACATGGGAAATTAAACAATATCCCAGCTGTCACTAGCTTCCCTTGTACACCCTCCAGTCCCCAAGGATTGCATCGTGTCTCTGGTCAGTGTAGGAACTGTCTCGCTATGAAGAGCTGTGACCCAAGATCATGACCATTCACGTGGATATATAATCCATATTACATGATGCACAGGTCTCCATCGCACATAGAATAGAGAAGACCAGCCCAGAAGTGAGCTGTTACCTACCATGTGGCTAAGGGAGGATACAGAAATGATCACTGGAACTTGTATGTAGGAACTGAACATTGTTAGGAGGCTGAGGAGAAAGTCCATGACTTGTAGAGCAAGGAATGGGATCAGGAGACGTTCTCTCTTCTGAGAAAGGAAAGCAATGCCAGTTATTTCTATTCTGAATGAGAGAAGGAGACCAGCTGTCAATACCTGCCAGGACATATATTCAGGTACTCCAAGAATAAATACTTTCCTCTAATTTCTGCATCGAATTCCAAAAATGTGGTGACAATTGATTCAGAAAAAATGGAGGGCATCGGTACTGATTTCTTTCACCCCCTTGTAAAGTTTCTGTGAATTTTGGCTATATGTCATTGGCACTTGATCCCATCGGAGCTGTCATTCAGCTGTCTCCAAAGTTTACCACTACAGAGAAAGTGGGGTTCCCACACCAACGCATGGTCATTTCTTCTCCTGAAATGGGAGAGGAATCCCCAGTGTAATAGGGGAGTTATGGTTCCCCTCCAGGATCTGATTTGCAAAAGAGCAAGGAAATTTTTGCAATAAAACATTTCCAAATCAGAACATTTCCATTCCTTGACACAAAAAAATAATCTCGATAGAATTGTCACCCGGATTTGGTAAATCTGGCAGTTAGCAGCCTTGCAGATGAGGCTGAGACTGCAAACCAGCCAACTTCCCCCTCTGTAAGACAGCACAAATATTTATCTGCTTTTTTGATCATACTTCAGCATCTTCAGTGAGCATCCTCTAGTGTTCTCCTAACTCAGACAGGCCTCAGCCAGCCGCTAAATGTCATTTGTGCAGAACATACCTTCACCACACCAAGAAGGAGGTTGAAGCTGATGACAAACAGCATGATGATCAACAGGAAACTGGTGATGACATCAGCTAAAAGTAATAAAAGCAATTATCACATTACTAAAAGCCAGAGCCTAACATCCCAATTCAATCATACCTCTAAGGAAGAGTTAAAGTCAGAAAGGTCGGTGTAGGTTGGGGAATGAATGCCACGCAGCTGGATGATAACCCTCTTTTCCCTTTTGACACCCACTTTTTCATCTGTCTTTGAAGCTTCTCTTTCCTTAGCCACTGGGCTGAGCAGCCTGTCTCCTCAGGCACATGGGAGCCAAAAGCCTTTACTGCCTGGACTGAAATTTTAAATATCCTAGGCTACAACATTAAGGTAAAATGAAGTAGAAAAAAAACAAAGGCAGAGTACTTTTAGCTAATGATAAATAAGTCTGATTTGGAAATTATTTTACACTCAAAGACAGATAAGTAACTAACAGTGAAATCTGGTGAAAGATCTGCAAGATTCTCAAGCAGACAAGAAGCACAAGTTTTAACCACCCACTGCTAGTACGGACCACAGACTCAGGGTGAAATATCTCACCGCCACTCTCTGTAGCTGTAGGCTGCAACATACACATTAAAAATAAATGTGTGAGGAGAACAACATGAGACAGTTCTACCTACAGGGCTGAAGATAATCTCTGTCAGCTGTTTTGGGTGCAGGAAGGTGATCTTTTACCTACACTGCTTCCTACTGAACACTTCCCAGGAAGCAATTTTCCCTCTTGGTATTGCAGCCTGCCCTGATGATGACTACCAAAGCCTCAAAGCCTTGCTTGTGATGTACAGTATACACATTTGGTCTTTGTAGCAGTCTGGACAGCATGAGGTTTTTTTGTAAAGTTGGTTTGCTTATTAAAAAAAAAAAAAGGGCAGCTCACTCCAAAGGCAAAGCAGTGCGACTTTCTTTATCCGCCCCTGCATAATGTAATGTATGTAACATACAGCCTTTCACAGTGCCTCCTCCAACTCACTCTCCAATTTCTTTCTTATTGCTTTACCTGAGTTTAAAATAGCAGCAGTCTGTTTGGGGTCTCCAACTCCCAAGTGCTTGAATAAATGGTTTAATTTTACTAGAAAAGAGCCAAAGTTTTAACTTTTCTGACTTTCTTTTCAAGCAACTGATCCTTTCCATAGGTACATTTCTCAAACATCAAAATTCTGATTACTGGTTCATTTTCCCCCTTGCAAACTGCCCAATTCATTCCATGGCTATTAAATAAATCTAGCGCCTAACTCTAATTTTTCAATTACCCCTTTCACTTGCTTTCCTAAAGAAATCTGGAAATTGCGCTTTAGCGTTTTGGATCCCTCATAGTCCAGCTGCCCTGAAATCCCGCACTGCTCCATATTACCCATTTCCCCTTGCCCGCCCCCTCCCACCCTTTAAAATGCCCCTCCACCTCTCCCAGCTTTAAGTGTTTACCTGTAGCTTTGGTACCAGATTACATTTTTAGTGGGCGGGGGAGTATTTCAGTGCTCAGGCATACAGCAAAGGGTGTCCTTAACTCACTCCCTAGCTTTGCTGACAATAGAATAAAATAATTTATGAAGACGTTGAGGTAGAGAAACCCATCCCTCTTTTTTAGGCAGGTAACACCAATACTGCTCCTTACAGCGACAAAAGATTTGCATCAGAGCAGTCACAGCTATATCATAATTTGTCCAGTTACTCTGTTTGAGGGAGCGAATGCCAACAGTCACCCCAAGCGGGCAGGAGAGCCATGCTGGAGAAGGGCAGAGCTTCCAACCCAGCACTGCCCACGACATCTAGCAGGAGGTGGGCACCCGTTAGATGCAGCCGCTGCAACGTATGCAAGCTGTCAAGTATTGCGTCCAGGCTCTGCTAAGCAATGTGGGTATGGATGAATGCCAGTTGAAGGAAAGACCAAAGACGACACTGAGCAGCTCTGGAGCCTTTCCAGGGTTGTAGAGGACCTGCCCGACAGCTGGGCTGAGCCACATCTGGCAGCAAGGGCGGGCAGGTGGCACCACCAGCCGCACTCCTCACGTCGTGACTCTGATAGTACTGAATGCACTTTATTTCATTCAAATGCATTGATACAAAAGGTATTTTAACATCCCTTGCTATCTTCTCAAGAAGCAGCAACACACTTGAGTCTCCTCTAGAAATGAGATTCGCAATGAGCAACCTTTAGTCTGAAAAGAAGCTCTGACCAGCACTTCCTTCCCTGAGCATGAGAAGCTTCTTCCTTTATGGGGCTCAAAGGTGAAAACTCTTTGAGGAGGCTGCATCCCTCAAAAAAGCAAAAATAGCTTATCTCAAGAGAGAGAGCAGCACAACACGAGCTGCACATGGAGGCGTCAGACATGCAAGACTCAAGGGAGTGATCAAAGGTATCCAACACTTAACCTATGTCAGAAAAAAAAAGTTTTGATGGCACAAAACAAGAAAATAGTTTTTACTTATAACCTGATAAAAAGCCAAATGCAGGATCTGTTTACCACAAAGTAACGAGAAATGAAACACAAAAGAGGAAGAAGTCTTAGGAAACAGCAAAGAAAGAAACCCCAAATCCAGCAAACCCCAAAAGAGAACAGAGAGAGCAATGGAGAAAGGGCTTTACTGCAGAAGGTGCCGCTCACAGCTTGGAGCATGGGAAGAGCCTAAGCTTCGAGGCAGAAAACCAGACCAGAGAAGCAGACGAGGAGACACAAGGCTGTGATCTGGTGTGCAAAGAATCAAAGATTAACACAAGGGCAGCATAAATTCAAAACAAAAAAAAGAGCTTAACAAAGAAGACAGACTCAGCCTTCATAGGAACAGCCATAAAAGGAGACAGTCCCACTCTGCCTAAAGCCATTTTCCTCCCAGAACCAACCACCAGAAGTTTACCCCAGAGAGGATTTATCTCTTCAGCACGGTGTTTCCTCGGATTCGAGGCCCCTGTGTTTTTCTGCCTCTTCCTGCATGGTCTCATGCTCCAGCTCTCTCGGCAGGCTTGCTAATTAATTGGGCAACTGGCCGTTGCTTCTGCAGGCTAATTGCCAGCAGAACCCAGCTGACTTTTCCAAGCAGAACCTAGATCAAAAAAACTCTAAACAAAATAACACAGAAACAAAAAGCCCACAACCCTACAGACACAAAGGGGTGGAAAGAAAAGGAAAACCAAGAGAAAAGAAATTTCCACACACTGTCTGCCTCCTATTTGTTCACCGTCACCCTTTCTGCTGGCAGCAGATCTCTCTGTTCCAGGGACATTTTAGTACCAATGGATTTGATCTCAGTAATCAAAGATTTTACTTAAAGTGACTTCTGCCTTTGTGGGAGCACATTTCGCAGATGGGCTAAAGGAGTGACCACCTTAGACAGTGGTACCTGCTGGCTCTTAGCCCTGTCTGTCCAAACCCGCCGTGAGGTGGGAATGCAGTACGTGTTACAGAGAGGCCAAATCCCCCCTGGAATACTTTGCAAGGGCTAGCAGAGCCGGTAGTTACCTTCCAGGACTGGCAGTAGGCCCCTGGGGTTTGAGGTACTTGCAACCACAGCAGACCCTAGAGACCAGATCGCTGTGACTAACAGGCTCTTTCTATGCCCGGCATCTGCCGCTCAAAAATATAAGATGGTAATTTTAAAGTCTCTTCAGTATTTCCCTTCATGCTTGGTCGGCCTTCGTAGGATGAATGTTTGTCTCTTTTGTCCTTAAAAACCCTCAGAAAAGGCCGAAGTTTAGGAATATATACCAAGCTTGAGCACCTGTATAGTCTCAGACACAGAGGCATCATTCCACAGTTTTTTTTCTCTGTTCCTCCCACATGTTCATCTGGGTTCATATCTCAGGAATAACCTGTTTTCCTCTACAGTCCTCTACAGTCAAAAAGTACTGGAGTATTCAGAGAGTAGCAGGGTTTGTCCCTGCAGAAGGTGCACTGGCTCTGAGGGCTGTTATTGCAAGACAAGAGGCAACTGTTAAAATAAAGGAAATGCCATATAACAGGAGAAAAAAATATCTTACAATAAGTGATGCCATCTCAAACAGGGATGCAGAGAGGTTATAGAACTCTAATTTTGGGGAATCTGCAAACCTCATCAGGCCCAAGCCCCGGGCAAGCTGCCCCAGCTTTGGGGTCAGCCAGGAGAATGGAGTGGAGACCTCCAGGGATCCACCTTTTGCTCTCATTTGATGATTACAAAATCAGGCAGGGAAGAAATGTCACTCCTCACAAAGCCTGCTTCACTCCTGTAGCCCTAGAATATCCTACCTACAAGAACATTTCAGTTCCGCAATCACTTCCATGCTGGCAGTGGTGCTTTATGGCTGGCAAACAGTGTGGAGGGAGCTTGCCCCCTTTGAGGTGGACCTTTTTCTAAAAAGATATAGGAATAAACAGCAGCAACAAATAAACAAACATGCTCTTTCTTATGCTTTCTCTTACTCAAATTCTCTGAGACTTCTTCAGTCTCCCAGAGATCCCAGGGAATTTAATGAGGAGGAGTATATACGTGCTGTGAAGTAAATGCCTTGTGGAGGTGGTGCAACCAGGACAGGGGCATATGACAGAGCCTCTGTGGAGCTGCACTAGACGTTTGCAGTGCGAGCAAGCAGTACCAAAAACCTCACCCACCCAACAGGAAGAGAGAGCATTTATTTGCCTAATGTCTATTTTTTATTAACTTCACATGAGGGTTTGTGCCCGGAAGGCAGCCAGGAGGGACATTGAATAACTCCTAATATTTCCCATGAATGCAGAGAAACCCCTTTCTATTTTATGGCCCAATAAACTGGCATGGGAAATACAAACAGGGCTCATAAAGCTGTGGTTTAACAGTTGCATTCACAGATTGCCAAGGATGGCAGTGTCTGATTTGATGCTGCTGATAAGCTGCAGGGAATTGTTTCTGGGCAGCCGCATTCAAAGGATGGGCAGGAGCGGCAAGGGAAAGGAGCCTCCCAGTCCCTTTCTCCTGATCTGCTTTCGTTAGAGAAGGAGGGAGTATTTTCTGCATAGGATATGGTATGCATAGGGTATGTTATGCATAGGATATGTTATATGCTGTGCACACAGGCATTTAGGCATAATTGAGGTATTTTTCTTGGCTGACTGGACAGAAATTGAAACAACTGTTCCAGTTGTACTTTGTCCACAGTGACAATTTGTACAGTCATTAATGAAAAATAAAAGTGATTAACACTCAGACTGTACACAGGCATGGATTGAAGACATCCTAAAGATCTGACCTGTGGCAAGCAGCGGGGTGTAACATTTTCAAGGCAGAAAACCATTCATGTTAGTGGCTTAGAACTGGAAAGGAGGCTTTAATTGAAACATTTTTTGGGGGATTGCTTTTTAGTTTTATTTTTTCCAGCAGGTAAAGCTAGTCTGCCAAAGCTCATATGCTTTCAGGAATGAAGCACTGCCAAGAAGGCTTTTGCTTGGAAGGCTTCTCAGCTCCAGGATGAGATTTCTAATAGACTGGAAATGGGGGAGGCTGCATGGGAAATGCACATCCAAATTTCTGCTGTAGGTGAGACAGAGCAGAGAGATGTGAACCTAATTCTTCCAAATTGCCCCTAATCACCACGCAGCAAAGTTTGTTTCCTGTTCCCTGTGCCTGGCGAAATTAATCTTGTGTTATTTCTTAAATATTAGTTAGGTAGTAAATTTATATCTACTTTAGATTAGCCAACCTCCTGGCAATGACCCGACTAGGGGTGGGAAAATCATCTTTAAGGCTCCCAAAGACAAAGAAGAACCTGGGTCATCTTCCCATTTTAATCCATCATTTTCAGCAGGTCTTATATCAATTTCTCGGTCAACTTCCATTGAAGAGCAAATTTCAGAGGAGTGCTCTCAGTCCTGTACTGCCAGTGGCATCTTGTAAGCCAAGACAGCAAGGAATAAAGGAATAGCAGGCTGCAAGGGACAGAGCATCCCTCTTCTAAGGGCAGCTGACCCAGTCACCCTTCCCATTATCCTGGCAATCGCGAAAACCTACGACAACCCCAATTCTCCTTCCCCTCCCTGACCATACCTGTGGAAGTTGAGGCCCATCCCATACCCTCTTTTTAAGGCAGCAAAACATACCGCTGAGAAATCTTGAGGGAGCTCTGCTTCCTTATAAAGAACTCCTATATGTATTTTTTCTTACTGTATTATGTGAAAAGCATTTTCACATAAACCTCGCCTTGTTTATATTCTTGGGCCATGACTACAGCATTAGCATTATATATTCTGAGACATGTTTTAATCTGGCAGGATCTACAAATAGAGCAGCAGATGCTGAGGGCATCGACAGAACCTCTCCCCAAATTGTTCTCCTACTCTTCCATCTGGGTTTTGAAGTGAAATTGAACTTTTTGTACTGCTTTGCTGTATTGCTTCCCTGCTAGTTTCTGGAAATAGAAGGGTTGCACTGTGTTTATTCCAACTATAATCAGAAAACACTCACAATCTCCCAAGCAGAGCCCTTTGAAATGCTTGGGAAGAGAAGCCAAGTGGAAGTGCTGGGGATTTCATTATAAAGTGTTCCTTTTTGTGTAGGAGGCAGTGGAAGAGGGGGGAGGGGGAAGACCTGTCATTTTGATTGTGTGGGAAGAGGGGGGGGTGTTAAAAACAGGGCCAATTTCACTCAGAGTGGTTCTATTCTTAAAGAAATCCCTCCATATTTACAGAAATGCACGTCTTGCCTAGAAAGCATACAATGGTTTCACATGGAAATTATCTGAAAAATCCATCTCAATGATTTGCTTCTTTTTCTTTAAATAATATTTTGCTTAGATACTTTGATAAGAAAAGTAAAAATTATTTGCCTTGGTTGATCTTTCTGCAAAAAATAATGAAAAACAATTGTCATTTTTACATAACTGTATCTGTGGGAAAGTATTCTGATCTGCAAATATCATGTTCAGTTTTCAGCAGTTCAGATCACTGTATTAGTCAGAATGCATGTGCATACTCCACCCTCAGGAAAAGAGATTTCTGACTATGCCCATTTCCAGGCCAGGTACATCAAAACCAAACCAACCCAAACCAACCCAAACCAACCCAAACAACAGAAAACCAAACCCCAAAAAAGGGAGGAAGACCTTAAGGTCACACTTACACCATGTTCTCCAGTTTTTATCTGTAAAATTTAAATTAGAAACACACATGACAGCAATGGAAAACTGGATTCTCCTACCTATGTTGTGCTGAGAACGGCCGGGTTTTGGAGCCTGTTCGGTGTGTTGCATGTTGCCCTAATGGGAAAGCTCTGCAGAAAGCGTTTTCCAAAGCAGTCATCACGCAAGTCTACACTGGGTGTTGAGCTGAGCCACAGCTGCAGAGGGACCTCTGTGGACCACAGCTAAGCGAAGTGGCCTCCAACCCACCCAGACTGGACTACTTTGGAAATAATGCCCCGTGTGAAAGATGTGACCCATGACAGCAGGCCCTTGCTCGGTGTCCTTCTAGCAGGACTCGCCCAAATCCATTTTCTGCTCACTGTTGATGCCTTTCAAAACAGCCTTGGTGGATCACAGCGGTGCCTCCAAAAACCCAGCTGGGCTCTTTTGAAAAATCTGAACCCATTTGTTAGCAATAACTTCACCCAAACAGTGACTGTGCCTGTTTCGGTGCTTTCCACTATGTCTGACTCCTACCCCGGGGACAAGTGACTTTTGGGTGTGCAGAATCTGCCGTACTTGGTTTCCTTTTCCTACACTTACAGGGGCCCTCTCTGTGCATGCTTGCAGCCTGTGGAGAGACATACTGGAAAAGCAGGGAACAAGCAAGTCCTGGATGCTGTGGGTTGCATTTTTCTCTGACTATGAACCCTCTCTGTCGGGAGAGACAATGCAGGGTTCCCGTCTTTCTGCGCGCAGCAGAGAAGGGTTATCTCAACTCGTGGTTTTACATGGAAAAGTGACTAAGAAAAGGAAAAAGCACCCTGTGTATGTTGCTTCCAAACAGCTTTACACAGAATTAGCCTGGTTAAGTAATATTTGAGGTTTGGGGATTTATTTTCTTTTAAATGGCACCCCACATGAGATATCTGCCACGTCTCTGAAAGCTAAGCTAGATCCTTCCGAGATCAAACTGTAGGAATTCAATCAACCGTGATGAATGTGATGCTTGTGACGATTTGTGGGATATGAAACAGCCTGGCTGCTTCTTCCTTGCTGCCAATGTTCTGCAAAAAACAACAGGGGTTGGGAAAATCTGGGGATAGGGGCCAAAGGGACAGGGGGAAAGGAGGTAGGCAATTGTGGCACTCTGAAGTGCCTTCAGCTGTGATGTAGAAGTCCCCTGCATGGCAAGATGGATGATGAGAAGAGGAAGGCTCCATGGCATAGAGGGCATGGTATTGGTGGCAACATCAGGTAGACTACGCACCCATGGGATCTAGTGTGGGGCTGTGGTTTCTCCCCACTCCAGGACCCTGAAGTCACTGGCCAGACTAGGTCCGTTGAGAAGCTGGTCAGGCAGTTCAGTGTTTTCCTGGAAAATGCCCAACATGTGAAGGGAGCCAACGGTGTGTGTAAGGCTTAAATGATCTACAGCTGGTGAAAAGAAAGAGAAGGGGAAGCCAGGATTGTCAGATTAATGCAAAGTGTGTTGCAGTGGGAAGGCTGGAGGAGTATGAGGGTACAGGAGAGTTTGGGCTGGGGCCTGATCCACTGAAATAGAGACAACTTCTCTGGGCTCCACATTGGTCTCCCGAAAACCAACACAGCCATGGCCTAAACCAAACTCCAATGCTTTAGAGCCTAAATCTTGTTTCTGGGTTTGAGCTTTTGGCCCATCTACTCTGAATGCAGAGTTTCCAATTTTCTTTGATGAAAAAGAAGGAGGGACCAATGCAGGACCTTGGGGTCCCTCTCAACCCCATAGACCTTTGCTGCTTTCCATCATCCCAGGCACCTACCAATTCTGTAGTAATCCTTGTCCAGGTCTTTGCAAAAGCCTTTCCCGCTCGCCACCTCCAGGGAGTACTCAATCAGCAGCAAAACGCTCATAACCTAAGAGAACAAAAGCAAAAGACACAATTCAGTGGGCCTTGGGCCAACTTCCTATCAACAAACTTGTTTCCAGGGAGCATGCAATGGCCACAGGCCTAAATGCAGGATAGGTCTCCAAGTGAGACAGTCATGAAGGGTTCAAAATCCTTTACAAGGAAACACTGAGGCAAAACTTAACAGTTTATTAATGGTTTGGGTTTAACTGTCTTTTTCTGCCAGATTCTGAAGAAGGAAGGCGGAATTACAAAGTTAATGAGCTTTGTTTCAACGTTTTTTATCCAGAAAGTCCTGGCTTTACATTTTGCAATCACATTTTGCTTCAGAATTGAGCTAAATGCAACAATAATATAAAGAGTAAACAGAAGCACCAAAAGAATAAACACCTATGTGTAAGTCTACCTATACTACTTCATTGACAGAAGTACAGTTTTCCTTCATTTATTGATTTGAGAAAAATCTCCAAATGTGTTTTTTTCGCATTTTGAACAAAACCAATTTTCTCTCCCTTCCCCACCAAGTTTCCAAGTTGGGCTATCAAACCCCAGACTCCATGATTGATCCCACTCTGAGATTAGCAAGCTGTGAGATGGAGTGAGGTCGAGAGCTGTGCTCTCAGCTCTAGCACTGTAATTCTATACCCAAACAGTGATGATCTGCAGCGAAAAATCAATTTCTAAGCCCCAGCTTAGGGGGAGCTCTTGTTTCATGGGGGGCACTGTGGCAGTCAGGAGCTGCAGAAGACCTCTGTAAGGCTGGAGACCTCACCATGGGGCACCTCAGACAGCAGGTCCAGGGTATTTCCATGCAAGTAAAACCAGGAAACGAGCAGCCACAAGGCCATACACCCCACCACATCCCTCCTGAGGACAATTCCACCCTGCTATGTACAACCCATGTACGCTACAGACAGAACATGCCAAGGGAACCAAAGTTCTTGTGGGTCCGAGAACAAGAAGTCCAAGGCCATGGTGGAGCATCAGTCACTGCCCACAGTGTTGTCAGAGCAAATAACGCCTCTCAGGGTAAAGGACTACTCTGATGTGATTTATTGCTCCTTATCACTTTACTGACAGTTTTAGCACTGCATAGTGAGACGGCACATTTCTGACTCCATCATGCATCCCATCTTGTTCATCACTTTCTTCCTCATTCTCTGATCTCTGCTGTCCTCTCATGCTTGGTACGCCTTTCATTTCTCCTGCATTTTTAGGCTGCAGCAAGCTGGAGCGCAGCATGGTCTGCCAGTCCTACACCCACAGCTGCGCTTTCCAAAAGCAGCATAGTGGGTGCTGTGTTATTTTAAAATTGCCTTAACAGTGCGGGTGGCTGGGGAGGAAGCCTACTGCTACCTTGCCCGAGGCCGCAGGAAACACAGGCTTGTCACCCTGCAGCTGCATCTCGCTGTCTGGACAAGCTCTCTGACCTCTCTGCTGCTGTGCATAAGAGCTGCCACTTCTTCTCTGCCTGAGCTTTACCCCTGTCCAGGAGGACCTCCTGCCACAGCAAGAGGGCACAGCCTGAGAGCAGAGAGCAGGAGTCAGACCAGGGGAAATGCAGGGACCATCACGCCCTGTGCGTTTTTCCCTCAGAGATGTGGGAACTGAGTCGGCAGGAGAGGAAATCCTCGAGTGTGCAAAAAATGGTGAAACCTAAACCTGTGCCAACAAGACTCTCCACCTTCACCCCACCAACACTGGGTCCAGCATTGGGAGCACCCATTCTGCGGACTGTTCTCCAGGCACAGGAGCCATCAACAAAAGTACCATCAACAAAAAAGGGGTTGTTGTGAAGAGGTGAATGAGAGAAGCAATTTTATCCGGGCTGCACAACCCCCGTCTGTGAGTCATCTGAACCCCACACCGATGCAGGAAGCAAGTTTATCTGCCACCAAGATCAACTCAAACTTGGGTACCGTAGAGCTGAAACAATTCCTCCACAATAGCGATAGCAGCCTTTCGTTTCAACAACCAGTTAAAGAAATGACGCAGGCAAGGAGGAACCGGAACTGCTGTGGTCTGCGCTCATGTTTGCAAACTTCATGTGTAGGAAACAGCACAAAACCAGCAACTGCAGGGAGAGGAGGCAAATCTAGCTGCTGAGCGAGCAGAAGAAATATTTTTTGTCTTTTGCAGAGCAGTGCCTGGAGGTGCCATACAAGATCCAGAGAGAGTTCAGGCTGGAGTAACGTGTAGTCAGATGTGCTAGGGGTGCCATACAAGATCCAGAGAGAGTTCAGTGTAGTCAGATGTGCTAGGGCTGACACTGCAAGCAAACAAAACTAAGAGGCATGGAAAGAAAGGCTTCTCGTTGTTCCAGAAATGGGGAAGCAAGGCTGGGAGGGATGGCCGGCAGCAGGGACAGGAACGGAAGGCAGACACTCTGACTGTCTCTGCGTTAGCTGCAGGAGACCTAGAAACTATCTTCAAAACCAAACTCACCAACTTTCTGTGCCACAAGCTGCAAGTGCAGCTTCCAGAAGAGCTGTAGCACATCCCCCAGAGCACTTTGCTTCTAGAGTGAGTGTCCACCAAGCCACACTCTCGCTGCAGTGGGGACTGGGACTCTAAGTCCCACCACTGGCCTTCCCTCTGAATTTAAAATCTGCCCAGAGTCTGAGTTGGAAGAAAGAATGTGTCATGTTTTGTCCTGGCCTGTCTGATATCAGGTTGTTCAACAGCCACAGGAGACACACTGGGTTTTTTTCATTTTTTTGCCACGCAATAAATGAACTTTGCAATTTGCTTGTGAGCCTAATAGGAAAAGGAGAAATATCTAGGTCTCATTACATGGGCACACAAGAAAGTTAACATGAATTCAGTTTAATGTATCAGTGTTTAAAGTCCCATGGAAGCACTGAACCTTGCCAAGGATGAAATTGCATTGATCTGAAGTTTCTTTACAATCGATGGTCTCCCCTGGGATGTAAAGGATCTCTTAACTCATGGAGGTGATGTGCTGACTTCAAGTGCCCTAACTTGTCTGCGAGTTTTTGTGTGCATGCTCCCGAAGTGATTTCACTTCCCTTATCGCTGCTGCTGGTCAAACCCCTCAAATGCCAACATGGGAAATATAGGAAGAAATTGCTTTTTCAGGTTTCTGTTAAACGGAGGCCTGAGCAAAACGGATAACTTGAGCCCTAAACATCAGTTTCATTCCTGAAAGCTAAGTGAGTGAAAGGAGGACAGCAGATCCCAAATGCTCCCATCCCAGATGGATTTACAGACAGAGCAGAGCCAGAGCCTAAACTTCAATATGAAGAACCATCTCTAATGTCTATCAAAGAGGGGAACAGCAGAGCAAGAGCTCCTGGTTACCTTGCAAGTGTTGAAATGAGCCACACAACCAGATCAACAGCAGCCACATAAAATGAGTACACGTCAGATAGAAAACCCTGGCCCAAGCCGAAAGATTAAGGAGAAGGCTTTTAAAGTGAAAGTTGGTTTAAACTTTCCATTTAAAAAGGCTTTTGTGTAGAAAGAATGAGCCACTGAACTGCAACGAGATAAAACACACAACGGTCTGCGTGTCTTTCCCTGGGCTCTCCATCACAAGTGCTGTGTGAAGACCAGGGTACCTCTCCATTGCCTGACTTTGGGTTTGACACATTGCTGCCTGGCATATGGCAATCTCATTTATTCCTGTATTATAATACATGCAGGGTGATGAAACCCCCACAGCGGGCTGCTCGCCTCAAGCTGAGAAGAAGATGGAGAAAGATTGATGTGGTGTCTGCCCGATGCTCCTTGCTCTGCAAGGCTGCATGTATTCTCACTCAAGATTCACCTTTCAGCTCCAGAAGAAACCGAAAGGTTCCTGTTTCAGACAGACAGGACTGCTCAGACAAGCATCCAGTTCCCTTTCTTATTGCTATGTCATGAGAGGAGAGAGGCAGGCTTAAAAAAAGAAGTTTCGCTTCCATTCACAGCTCGCGTGGGGTGCTGTGGTCTCCCAGACCCTCCACCAGCCAACCTTTCTTATTTTATCTCCTACAGCTGCATCTTTGGGGACACCTCGTATCTTATTGCTGCCTCTGTTTAAAAGGAGTGCTTCCAGTTTCTTGGTAAAACATTTGTAACATGGGGAAATGAAGTGGCTAAGCCAAATAGTGTAGGACTGAGGTAGAGCCAGTCGTTAAACCAAGGCAGCTAAATTGGGGTTGTCTTGCAAGGCAGATTCTTAACAGCATGACGCACGCAGCCCCCATTCCCTGGTGAATAATTTTGCTGCAGCTTGAGTAAGGTTAAACTGCTGTTAGAGGTTGTGTCATGGGCCTTTTTTTTTTTTTTTTTCTGAAATATGTGCAACTTGACTGATCTCCAAATAACTTATCTTTGTGTGCATGGCCTTGGTGTGACGGCTTCTACTTTTCATTTTCACACAAGAAGAGCTTGAAGCCATAATGAACAGGGGTCAATGGGGACAGTGACATGTGGCTCCAACATTGCTGTGAAGGTTTCTGTCAGTGGAGCACGCAAGCAGGTGACACCCAGCACTGCAAATAGTACCACGTATAAATGCCGTACTTTCAGTGCTTTGCCTTTTTTTTACTTTAATTTCAAGGTGGTTGTGGTAGGGTAGGATGAAGTGAGGAGTGTTGTTAGCTCCCATTTGGTTTCTGTTCAAAACATTTCATCTTTTTCCTTCCTGCTGCCTCCTTCTCCCCCTCTTGTTTGTGCAAGGACGAGGGAGCAGCACAGGGTCTGCTGAACATCTCGGGTCAGCCACGGCCTGCTGAAGGTACAGTGAGTCACAGCTCTGTACCAACATGAGTCACGTCCACAGGTGAGGACCAGGCCTGGAGAAGGTCCCAGAGATGAGAGTCTGCTTCCTGAGTTAAAGAGGTGCCAAAGAGAAGAGCTCTGCTGCAACAGAAGCTGGACCAAGCTACAGACATGCTGCTTCCTAAGACCTCCTTTGGATCTAATCAAGGGCTAGTAGCAAAATAATTGCAGATGTTCTGCACGTACTGTGTGCACAAAAGCAACTTTCCAGCCTTGTTCTTGAAGTTAATGTCAAATAACTAGAGGTCTCTTCGTGCCTGGGAGAAGTCAATGAGCAGGAGAACAAATTCCTCCATGTTTTCTTTGAAAGTCACCTGCAAGACACCTTACAACACCCAGTGAATCTTTGCTAATCACACAGCCCTGTCCCCTCCTCATTCCCCTGCTTCTCCTTCCCCATCTGTTTGAGAATGCCCACGATTTATTTCAACTGTCTATGGAGAGATCAGCAGTGAGACAAATCTAATTTATAGGAGGACAAGACATCACCACAAAGCCTGAGAGCTTGTGTTTGATGGCATTGCTATCACCCAGCATCACTATGATTCATCACTAGGACCCACAGCAATAATTTACACTGATACAAACCAACAGTATTGATGTAGCAAATCATCCAAGTCACTGCTGAGTTATAAATCCCCCTTTTTTTCCCCTCCCTCTTCCCGGCTGCAGCTACATGATCAAAAAGGTGGAGAAGAGGTAGGGAAAAATCGTTTGCTATTCTGTGTTATCTCTTAAAGCAGTAATATAAGACAAACTTCTCCAAAAACCAAACTGTCTCTCAAGGGGTTCTGTGTAAAAGAAACCCACTGAGATGATACAGTAGGTACAGATGCACTGGGACCTGCAGGGACTTGGGGAGTTACAGGCTCTGGTATTGCAATGATGGTTGTTCTGTCAGGAACCAATAGCAGGAAGGTTGTAGACCTGAAGGCTCAGGCTGCCCCTGCCCATTCCCATATCCTTTACTGCTTCAACCTCGGCCTTCAAGAGCATCTCTGGCTCCTTAGTCTTAACCTAAGTTGCATGCAAGTTGCTAATGCTCCCTGGCACCACATGCCCTGTGTTGATCTTGTACATCATATTTGTGCATGTGATAGAATGGTTAGAGTTGGAAGGGACCTTAAAGAACATCTAGTTCCCACCCCTCTGCCCCCATTCCTTTCCTTCCTGCTGCCTCCTTCTCCCCCTCTTGTTTGTGCAAGGACGAGGGAGTAGCACAGGGTCTGCTGAACATCTCGGGTCAGCCACAGCCTGCTGAAGGCACAGAAGGCCCCGTCCAACCTGGCCTTGAACACCTCCAGGGATGGGGCAGCCACAGCTTCTCGGGGCAACCTGCGCCAAGGGCTCACCACCCTCACAGGAAAACATTTCTTCCTAATATCTAATCTAAAGCTACCCTATTTCAGTTTAAAACCGTTACCCTTTGTCCTATCGCTCCACTCCCTGATAAAGAGTCCCTCCCCATCTTTCCTGTAGCTTATAGTCATCACTGTTCTGATTTTGCAATGATGCACCACAAAGTTTCAGAGGGTGACTCCAAACCCTCCTGACCACCAGCCACATCCAACTGGTCACTGTGGTGGTGACTGAACTGCACAAAAGCTGTCACTTAGAGACACGGGGCTGCTTCCTACCCAGGCAGCCCTGACACTGGTGACTACCGGTGTGGGCAGAGGGAGAGCAGAGCAAGGACCCAGCTGTGGCTGTGCAGGATCCTCTCCAAAACCATAGTGAGATCCCATGGTGAGTTCATGTTGCTTGTGAACTGTCAGGTGCAGCAGGGGGCCAAACCATGCCCTGGTAGAGAAGAAAGGGGACACATGCCGGTGACCTTGGCTGCAGTGTGAGATTTTGGTTCTCATTAAAATATCAGGGGGAGTTATTACAGCTAATTCCTTTCCTGTGAATGTCCTTAAGACTGTTTTAAAAATGCAAGTCTGTTTTAAAAATGGTCTGAGTCACATATATGCTCAGCGTAGACTTGTCCTACATAAAAGAGGGTCAATGGGTAGCTCCAGCACCAGACCCCCTGATTGCCAATAGTGCCATACTTAGCTTGCACCCTGGCTCTATTTTGAACTACTCCAACTGCTTTTCTTCAAGACCAATCTGCTCCAGAAGCGGCTGGCCCCAAGCCAGGCAGCATCCCTTCTTGGCTTCAGGGCCCAGGATCTTTCCTTTACCCTTCTTTTGGAGAACCTAAGTGTTTTGTCACATATACTTATCTGTTTATTTATACACGTTAAGGTATAAACTACAACACCACAACTATACCACACATAATTTCTGACCTGAGCCATGTCACCATGGCTAACAGTCAGGAGAGGGATAACATTCAGAGCAATAAAAAAGACCTCAGCTCATAGTGTGACACTAGGATTTGTCAAACCTGGAAAAGAAATGATTGAACAGGAAATATGAACTGAACAGGGCTGGAGATTATTGAACACGAGTTAGTAAACATGATAGTTTTCATGTAATTTCAAACTCAAGAAGTCTTTGATGTACTGAAGGCAAAGGATGCACAGGACAGGGATCACTTGGTACCTGTCCTGCTTCCAGCACCTTCTTCTCAAAGCATCTGCTGCTGGCTGCTGTTGGAGACAGGCTGGGAGGCTGCCGGACTTTGGGGCTGACTCAGGACATATGCCTTCTGACTTCTGCCTTTGCCATCTTGCAAAGAAAAGCAGCTTCTCTTGCCTGCCCTGGGTGGACCTTTGCATCTCTTCTGCAAGCTCTCTCTGGTGAGCAGTGTGAAGGCTCACTCAAAAGCTCTCTGCCTTTTGCCGTTCAAAACTGGCCTGGTGTCTTTAACAGACCCACAAAACATTTTTGAAAGAACACGGCTTTCATACGATGTCACTGGTAATCGAATTTTCCCTGTTAGCCACCAGCACCGAGACTGGTGTCCTGTTCTCTTCCATCACACATTGGTGCAAATCAGGAATCCCTGATGTTGTTAGTGGCATCAGTTATGAGACAAATGTGCCTCAGTTCAAAGCGTTTGCTGGCTTCTGAGAAAGACAAAGAAGATTTTTTTATGATTCACCCTCCCAGCCAGGAAAAACGAATTCATTTTCTGTATGTCTGTTTCACCACTGATAACAGATAGCTCACGTCGCACAGCGTGCTTGTAGCCCTCTGAAGAAAATGTGTTGAAGTTCCTTGTGTTGTGTTTCCCACCTTTGCGCAGACCTTTAATTTTGCTAGCTCCTCATCAGATCTTGGACATACTTCCTATGAGGGTCCCATTTCTAAACAGTTCATGACCATCCCTCTGTGATGGCCGTATGTTTAATTGGTTGTCAGAAATTACCTGTGCTCTGCTGCAGACTCTCAGCTTTCATCTGTTTCAATTTTTGTGTCTTGGGGTCACGAGAATGCACAAGAAATGCAGCAATTTCTTTTTCTTTAAAGCAGGGAGATTATAAGTGTTGAGCTTGTGGCAAAAAGACAAGTAGCCTGCCCAGGGTATAATCTAGATGCTCAAAAAGCAGAAGGCAAAAGAGGCTATAAAATTGCATGATTCCTTTAACAATCTCATAATGTTTTGAGGTCCCCAAAAGATTAAAACATGGCATGGAAATGGCACTTTAAAATATTGCATTATTAAACATTAAATCACACAAAATTAAAATATTAAAATATGGCATGGAAATGCCTGGCTTTCAAGTAATGCCAGGGGAAAGGTGTTGGCAGTTACCATGAAGATGCGGCGTGGACCTGAGTTCCTCTGCTCTCCTGCGCTGGGCTGGCACGGGGCCCCCTCCTGCCCCAAACTGGGGGGGTTTGTGCCCAAGCACAGCCACCCCACTCTCTCGCTGCCTCTAGCAGCCCACAGTGCTGCTGCTCCTCGAGTGTTTATAAAATCCTATCATGCACTGAATGCTTTCCCTTTATCTTACTATCCGAAAAAGCAACAAAACCAATTTCTGGATTTTTTTGCCTTTCATTTCATGAATCGATTCCTCCGCCAATGCATGCTGGAATGGCATCGTGGAAGTCAAACCCATTAAACCAGCACATCAGCCCGCTGTCTTGGCTTTGTGTGAGCGAGGAGGGAGCTCTGGTGCCGTGAGGATTTGCTCAGGCAGCTTGAGTTGCTCCTCCTGCCCCAGGAGAGCAGACTGGTGCTGCAGGGGGACCATGACATGTCCTTCTCACGCGTGGCACGGCTGCCATCCCCACCACATATTCGCAGGCTACAGCTCCCCTCGCTCCACTTCTGTGCATGGAGGGGGTTAAGAGCCCCCGTTAAACGTTATCACCCTGCAGGCCCCAAACCCGTGACTGCGCACACCCACTGCCACGCACGGGATTATTTTAAGTGCCTCTGCTGTGCGAGAAACCACATCCTCAGTGCGACTTAAAGCCACCTGAAAGCACCGCTGTGCAACCAGGTGGTGGGGAAGAAATATCCCTTCCAGGCTCTGCTGCCTCCACTCGCTGCCGTCTGCAACCACCCCCGAGCGGTTGCGCCGGCAGCTGAACGCCGCCACGCATCCCAACGGACACCGAAACAGTGCGTACAGTGTCCAACTGTCCATAGAGAGAGAAATGAGGCAGCTTTGCCCAGCCGCCCTTTGCTTGCCTGGGACCTAAATCCTTCCTCCCTTCAGTGACCCATAATTTCAGCGCTCCCGCAGTTTGCGTTGCCGCTGTGCTGGCCGGTTTCTAGCCAACGAGTGACCAATTAGCCATGCTGAGCCCTGGCTGAGCTACACACCCCTGCGCGGGTAAGAGCCCCTGCATTAAGCTGCAAGGGAAAAACAGGAACTGGAGTGAGTTTCCATGAGCTCCAATTGGTAAAGCCAGGGAAAAAATAGTTAAAAAAACCCCTCCCAGTACAATAAATCTCTTCCTGCCCCCCTCCCCCCCCTCACCCCACCACCTTCTCCTCTTTTGTCCATCCCTCTTAAATCATTGGTTTTTCTCCTTTGGGAACACAGAGAAGTCAACAGCCAGGAAACCTTGTGATCTGCAATGGTTACACCTCCTGCAAAGACTACACCTCCACCTCTCTTTTCTTGTCTCCCTCTCCCTGTGCCCCCTTTCAGTCCTGTAACTTACCATGTGGAAGATCCCTAGAGCGACTGTTGCTGTCTTGATGTTGAAGAAGCAACATTTGGGGGGCTCGGTGGTGGTTTGGGCAGTCATTTTCCGATCCCCTCTGCACAGCTGTGAGTTAAGGAGGTTGAGTTCGCAGCAACCGCCCCACTGGAAAGCGAAGCGAGCAGTGCCGCTCAACTTCCTTCCTGGTCTATAAATGTGTTAAGTCATCTACAAAGTCACATGAGGTCTTTGATTTCTCAATAATAAAGAAAGCAAAATTGTGTTGCTTTTCTAACAGATCTTTAACTGCTTACACATCCCAGATGGCAAATGTAAGCACAAGTGCTGCTTCGGGCAGGTGGTGTCCAGTGGGTGAGGTGTATGGGGAGAGGAGGGCTCTGAAGCAGGGTGCAGCTTTGTCCTACAAAAAATCAGCAGAAACAAAAGCAGGGGGGCAAGAATTTCACCTTAAACTTGACCCACTGTTTTTGCAGCAAGGCATCCAAATTCCTTTGTTTGAAGCGGCTCGTTCCTTGCCAGCAAAATCACCATTCCTTGGAAGCGCTCCTGGGAGCTGATGCTTGAGCAGCCCCGGCCTCTGGAACCAGGAGGGTGGTGGGACTCCAAGGGTCAGGGTTGTTGGCTGAGATCTGCAGATTTGCTCCAGGTTCCTGGGGCAACTGATGTGATCTATGTTAGTCAGCTCCTGGAAAAGAAAAGCAACAGAGAGATCTGAGCCTGGTGACTTAGCCACTGTGCAGGATGTCAGACTGTCTACCCCTGCTTGAACTTAATAAAATGTTCTCTTTGGTATATATGTGTCACCATGATCATCAAAAACATTCTTTTTCTTGTCTGTGCTCTATATTTATTACCATTCTCATAAAACCCATTTTTTTTTTCTTCTCTTTTCCTCTTTTCCCACTCTATGGGACAGAAAAGTCATCCTTTAGACCTTCTGTGGAGTGGATTGACCTGAGTTTCTGGCTTCCTGGGAAAGGTCTGGTCTGCCACAGCAGGGTGGCAGCTCTCCAGCAGGTAAATGCAGGTAAACGTAACGAGAGAGTTGGGTGCACTCAAACAAGCTCTCAAGGGACTTGTGTGCCAGCATGCCTGGTTTCAGCATCCCAAACATACTCACAGAGTTTATTGTTTCGTGCTTCCAGGAGCATTCCTCACCAGCATGGCATCAGGGCTCTACAGTGCTTAGGCAGAGGGTTTTCTTGACTGTTCTTTTGAAACTAAATGCATACATTCCACCCCAATGCCGGGAAATAGCTGTTCTGCAGCCCTCCAAATCTGTACTGAGTAGTACGGGCCCAGCTATGTTATGGGAGATGTGCTGGAAGGCTTCAGTCTGGCTGAACGGATGTTCCTAAATGCCATTGAAGTTTTACAGTGATGTGTTATTAGAGAAAGTCAGGAGTTTTGGGCAGCGATTGTATGAAATACAAGTAGTTGAATGCCCCTGGAGACACTGCATCTGAGACAGGGTCAACTTATAACGTAAATCAGATGGTCCATAAAAGGTTGGCCATGTCTTTATGTCCAGGGTCCCCCTCCAGGGCCAGGGATCTCTGCTGCACAGACATTTCAAGGCGGGGCAGGGTCAATACAGTTGGGTCCTGATGCGTATTCACATTGGTTTTTTTGGAATTGCACCAAATCTGACAGTTTATTACTCAAGTCCCAGGTTTTGAAGTCACGTGGTTCTCTCTTTTTTTTTTTTTGCCTTTAAGGATGCCTCTGTGTTTTTCAGTCTTGCGTTTGTGAGAAACTGTTTGCAAATAAGAGCTAAGTGCAGCTGAATGAAGAAGAAAAGGGAAAGGATTATCTTTTTTTTTTTTTGCACTGCTTGGTGATTACACTGCATTTTATCCTATTTCATAACAAGCTGGGGAAGAAGATGGACTCATATGCTTCAAAAACCTGATGACAGCAGTACAACTCCTGCCCTGTGGTTGGCAGGAGGCTGAAAGAAGCTTTGGGGTACCCCTGGGAACCAGCTCTGAGTCAGAGCTCACGCTGCTGTGGATAATTTGTGCTCTCTGCCATCCACCAGTTCGAGAGAAATCCTCAAATAAAAAAAGAAAAAAAAAGATGCCAGGAGGCTGAGCGTCCTGGGAGAGAGTGGAAGTTGAGTATGTTTTAAGTCAGCTCTGGGTGACTCAGCCCATGGTCAGTTTGGTGTGTTTTATTTCAGTCCAAGCCCGTGGCTTCAACTCCACCACTGAGAATTGCCTTGCAAACCCAACTGAGCCCACACTGCTGAGCCCATAGTAATTCATGCTCACCAAGACTAGAGAGATCTGCTTTCCTTCTGCACAGCTTTCCATCCAGGGGCCTTAGCAGGCTCTGCAGAGGTAGGCAGGCATCATTATTCCTTTTCTACAGATGGGAAACTGAGAAAAGTGTGCAAAAATGCCCCATTTCATGGCCACTCCTCTGGCCAGAAGAGAGCCGGGAAGGTAACCGGTGTCTGTGGATTCACAGGCTGCTCAGTTTACGAGGAGAGACTTCGTTGCAAGGAAAACATGAGATTTATAGATGCTGAAATTATAGCATTGGGAAAAGATGGCATCACTGTAAGTTATGTTTCTGCAACCACTCAAAACCTGCCTGGCTTCTGAACAGCTCCAGATTTCGAGGATACATTTTTTATGCAGAGTAAATTTGAAGTATGTTTGGTCTCACTCCTCCCCAGTACGAGTTTTTACAGATTCTGCCTCTTTTTAGGATGGGAAATAAGGTAACTTCTACAGAGTATAGCTATGGGTCTCCTGTTTAAAGGGACCTCCTCAGCTTCCTGCCTTCACATGCAAAGGCAAATCCATGGCAGCAGCTGGGAAATGCTGCTTCCAGATAGTTTTTGTTATTTACAGAGGTAAAAATTTTGTCATACATTATCACAGTGCTGAAGGGTTTGGGCTCAAGCCTCCAAAATGTGATCTCCTATTTGTTTTACAGCCATATGATGCTATCAGTCTTTCAAGTATGACAGGAAATATTTTCAAAGCTCTTTAACCGCTGAGGGGGTTCGTCTTCTTTTGCTTCAAGTGTCATTGCTGTAGGGCTGTGTTTTTGGGTTTGGGTTTTTGTGGGTTTTTTTAAACAAAACACAAGAATATCCACTTCTCCTGGAAACACTTTGTGATCTCAGCACTGTTGATGGGTGTTTATTAACTTTAAGAAAGTCAGTGCACAATCATAGAATCGCACAATGGTTTAGGTTGGAAGGGACCTTGAAGATCATCCACTGCCACCCCCTGCCCTGGGCAGGGCCACCTCCCACCAGCCCAGGTTGCTCCAAGCCCCGTCCAACCTGGCCTTGAACACCTCCAGGGATGGGGCAGCCACAGCTTCTCGGGGCAACCTGCCCCAGGGGCTCACCGCCCGCACAGGGAGAAATTTCTTCCTGATCGATATTCTAAATCTACTCTCTTCAGTGTACTGTCAGTCTTGCTTGTTGTTTTAATTTCCTCAATTTCAGGTGAGACTAGGGCCTGTCTAGGGGCCAAGTCCTTGTTGTCTAGTCTGAACTGTGCGCTGACCTCCCCATTACATAGGACAGGAGACATTTCTGCCACTTTCCCCCTTACCTGTCAGGGGTTATGAGCAGAGCAGAGCAGGACGGTGCCCTGCCATCTGCCATCAGCCTCAGAGCCCTCACCCTGACCACAGCCTCTGCGATATTCATAGCTCTGTGAAAACTTTGCCTTCCTGCGGTCACGACTCCAGCTGGATGAGTGCAAATGCCTAATATTAGTCCCCAAGCCTAAAAATTGTCTTTGCCTGAGAGAGACAGCTCTGTCCCATGTGTGGCTCCACAGTGAGAGCCTGCACTGAGCACAGCCCCAGGCAGCCACCGTCCCTCCCGGGCTCCAGAGATGTTCAATGCTGAGACAGCAGCCACCTACAATACCATTAATTTAAGTTTGGTCCATGAGGGTACAGCAAGAAAGCCCCCCTACTAGAAATACAGTTTATACTGGGAAAATGAGCTCTTTAGACAACACAATTTCTGCCTCCCTACTCAACATCACCTGGAAGAGCAAAGCAACTCTTGTGGGGCAGAAACGGCAGCTCTGGAGATGGGGATGGAGGTGGTTTGCTTGAATATTATCTCTGACAGGGGTGTTTATTTTTTTCCCCCTTCAGACACAGTGCAGCAATGTTATGCGTACACACTTAGAGGCACTTTTGTTTTTTATTTTATTCCAAGCAGTATTATGAATATTGACTTTACCCCAGTGCTTCAGAACTCCCGCTTCCCAACCTCCGTGAAACTGTCAGGAGGAGAGAGGAAGGAATGGGAGTTAAACGAGGAACAGTTGCTATAAGTTTTAATGGACGTCAGACTAGGTTTAGACCAAATCCTACCACTTTGGGGTCACTTTGGAATCAAATCAGGTCACTTTTGAACCAAATCACTTGTGATGAATAACTGGTAAAATTCTGACATCACTGTTCATTGTCACTATAATGGCTTGTGCTTTTCAGGTTAAAAATGAGGTTGTTTTAGAGGCTATGTTGAAAAATGTGCTAACTGCTATTAAAAAACATAATTCAGCTGCAAAGATTCACTGGTGGATCCATAGTACAACATGCAGTTGAAGTCTCCTCATGGGCAGGGAAAGCACAAGGCCATACATGAGGACTGAAGGCAGCCGAAGCGTCAAGCCCTGCATCTATCAGCAGCCCTGGGGCAGCGAGAGCTACAGCAAACCACGACAATGCCTGGAGCATCTTTGGGGAAATAGGGTTAAAAATAATATTTGGTTTTAAAAATTGATCTGTTCAAGCATCCTTCATTTACAAATCAGTTGCAAATACAGGCTTTGCTTCACCTTCTCTGCATGAAACATATTTTCTTTGGGGGTTGCCTCCCCTCAAAGCCATGTTGTGGGCCCAGCTGAATGAAGGTGCAGGAGGATCAAGTATTTCCTGCTAATATGAAAAGCTGGTTCATAATTTGAACCTGACTTTGCTTGAAAAGTGTACTTTCCCTTGGCAATCCCCCCCTGTCCTTTTAGAGGCAGACAGAGGTTGCTTGTGCGTTTGAGCATACCATACCCAAACTTAGCTCACAACGTGTAAAAACAAATAGAAAGTGTGGCCCAGGCTGGGCCATTGGCTTCAAATAGTCCTGAATGCCACCGCGTATTTGGCTCACAGCATCATCC